GGGGTAGACTTTAAAGAAATATATGCGTTATATACGGCGTTATAAAGAATGGGATGGGTTTTTTTCCTTTTTTTGTGTGGTTATTTGGGGCGAACCCACAGCCTCCCCAGCGCGACCGTAGTCTGAAAATGTGGAGGCGACACATAACTAGGTCAGAACGCGGGAGTCACATTAAACAGCCGATTGTCATCTCATTCCTATAAAGAGCATTTAACAAATTCCCTGGCAGAAATAAAGAAATATCCTTCCTTTAATACCAATTAGCTTTCAATGCGCACTTTACATTTTTTTCCATTTCTGAAAATGTTCTTCATTTTTTAAATTACAATTGTTTTTTTGTTTTTTTACTTGAAAAACATTTCTGAAATTTAATAGGTCAGGGGAGGTGAGAAGAACAGCAACGGACGGAAGTAAACAAAGTTTTCAAAATGTCAGCCGCCTTGCCTTGTGACTTGTGATGTGAAACGTGTGACATGAGGATAGATCTAGATTCTAGATCTAGATATCTAGGCCTAGAGTATTTCATTTGGATTATCAATTTCGGTGCTTTCTAATGGAATAATGTACATTGTATAGATCTAGACTTGTTGAAAATGGGCAGAAAATGTTGTCTGTTACTGGGTGCAGGTCAAATTCTAGAATCTGGATCTATGACTATGACTCTACTGACAAGGTTAGGCCTACTGTTTTTAGATCTAGATCTAGATCTAGATTTCTAGATCTCTACCTAAAGATAAAGATTAGAAATTAGAGAGAACGTTGGGTGAAAGCAATCCCACGCGACAATATAATATACCCAATACTGCAAATATTGTTGTTTGTATTAAACATTTTCCAGATGGATTTGAAACTAGATCTAGATCTAGATATAGATCTAGATTTAGATCTAGATCTAGATTATAGATCTAGATATCTAGATATAGTCTAGATCTAGATCTAAAATCTAGATCTAGATCTAGATTCTAGATCTATTTCTGTCAAAGGAAGATTAAGACCAAAAAACCCTCCATTGCTATTTTCTAATTTGCCCAAAAGTTTAATTCCAACACCAGTGCCTTTAGCAAGAACAACATGTAGAGCTAGATCTAGATCTAGATTTAGATCTAGTCAGTCAGATCAGTTGAAATTGACCAGTTTGAAGAATATTCACAAAAAGTAATGGTTTCTTTTAATTCATTGTGTTCATTTGTAGGAGCCAGTGTGTGACAAGGTAGGCTGTTCAGAAACTCTGAGTGAAATATTTATGGACATCTCACAGTACATGTATTATGGTTTTGAGATGAGACAACACAACTGCTTTGTCTTAAGTAATATTTTGCTAAACAATTTCTGCAAGATATCCAATCCACCATCTGAGAAAGAACCTAAACAGAAAGTCATAAAGCTGTCTTCATAAACAATGCAAGTTAAACCTTTTTCATAATATTTACACTGTAATGTTTGTGAATGCGCGCGCGCGCACACACACACACACACACACACACGCACATACACACACACACACACACACACACACATATATAT